ATCATCCGATTCGAAATTTCCGGTATAAGACGCCGTTTCGAATGTGAAGTGAATCCCAGAGTGCCCAATATTGTTTCGTTGTAGGAATACAGATAGAAATGTCTGCCAGGTAGGTTTTCTGTTTGACGACTCCATTAAATCAATTCTGGGTTTAATGTCGCGGTGTTCCAGCTGGTCTTTCCTGACTTATCATCACTCCACGGTTTTCGATCAGCCGATGTTGATGTTGTAATTTGTCTTGTGACCGAGTCAGCAGCCGTATTTCGCTTCCACCCTGGAACAATATCGGCAGTTTTCTTGGCAAGGTCTTCTAGACAGGGCGTCGGCGTTTCCGTGTGATGATCCTTACGATGACGGATAGTGATGTCATATTCTTGGAGTCTCTGTATCCATCTGGCTATATGAACCTCAGGATTCTTGAAATTTAAAAGCCAGGTCAATGATGCACGATAGATGCGGAGCAGGAATTTTCTGCCGTATAGATAGTGATGGAACTGTTCTACAGCTTTGACTATGGCGAGCAACTCTTTCCTGGTGACACAATAATTCCTCTCCGGTTTAGACAGGCACTTGCTCTAGTACGCCACTACACGTTCTTGGAAGCCTATTTCTTGGGACAAAACAGCACCGACACTTTCATTGCTCACGTCTGTGTCGAGAATAAATGGTCTGTCGAGCTGAGGATACGTTAGGATCGGAGCTGATGCTAAAGCCTCCTTTAAGTTGTTAAATGCATCCTCGCATTCTTTTGTCCCCAAGAACTTTCGCTTGCTCTCTGTCAGCTTGTGAAGGGGTCTTGCGATGGAAGAAAAGTCCTTCACGAATCTCATATAGTAGGTGCAAAGTCCTAGAAAGCTTCTCAACTGATGGACATTCTCGGGATGTTTCCAGGATTTAACAGCTGATACCTTTTCAGGATCCGTGCGCACACCTTCTGCAGAAATGACATGTTCCAGGTAAGTCACTTCCTTTAGGAACAAATTGCATTTAGCGGGACTCAGCTTCAGATTGGCTTCTTTCAGTTTCTGAAGCACCTTCCTAAGATTTTCTAAATGTTCTTCAAAACTCTTTCCGACGATGATGATGTCGTCCAGGTATATCAGGCAGGCTTCGTAGGAAAGGCCTTTTAAAACAGTCTCCATAAGACGTTCGAATGTTGCCGGCTCATTACACAGTCCAAACGGCATTACCTTGAATTGCCACAGCCCTTGTCCCGGAGTAAATGCTGTCTTTTCTCGGTCTTCAGGCTGTATTACTACCTGCCAATACCCATTCTTTAAATCAAGTGTTGAGAACCACTTGCTTCCAGAAAGAGTGTCTAGAATGTCGTCAATTCTAGGAAGAGGGTAACTGTCTCTTCGTAACCTCATTCAACGGCGATAGTCAACGCAAAATCTTGTTGAGCCGTCTTTCTTTCTGACTAGGACGATGGGAGATGCCCATGGACTTACTGAAGGCTCGATGACATCGCCTTCTTCCATATCTTTTAACAGTGTTCGTGCCTCTTCCTGTTAGCAAACGGTAGACGTCTTGGATGTTGCTTGATCGGGGGATGATCGCCGGTATCGTTATGTGTGTCAAACTGGTTCGACCCACGTCAGAAGACGAGCGGGAGAACAACCTTGAAGATCTTTAATGACGCAATCGGCAGCATTCTTCTCTTCATCGTTTAATTGCGCATTCTGAAGTAATTCTGATGTAATGTTTTCTGAGACACGGATTCTTGGATGTTACTCTTTCTTTCAACGGTGGTTACTGGAGTACATGCTGCAACCACTTTCACCTTTCTTAATATTCTCACCTTCTCACTTACATTGGCGAACTCTCACCGGGATAACCTTTCTGGATAGGTCGACGAGTGTTGAGGCTACTAGTACTCCTTTTGGGCTATTACAGTTATTGGGATATTCTATGATGCCGTAGCGGAAATTTCTGTTTCGGCTATGGATCCAGGAAGTAAAATTTCTGTTCTTGCCGGTATTGTATATTGTCTTGTGCTATGATTTTATGGACAGATTTAACTTCTTCATCATTAACTTCAAATAACGCTATGTCCTCAGATCTAGAATGCTATTCGTTATTTTTAAATCCAAGGAAAAATTGTTTCCTTAGAAAGTCCAATCGAGATGCAAGAATCAGTGATCTCTGCTACATATGCCGTGTGGTAGTAAGCGGCACTTCCAAAACGTGATGTTAACATTTACTTTTCCGTCGATGTCGATCTTCTCACCGGACACAGTCTGGAGGGTAACGCAGGGCGGCGTCCAGATAAGTTTGTTCCCAGTGTTGAGCCAAATCTTTTCGGATGATGGGTAACGTTGGCTCCTGTATCTAGCGTCATATGCAGGAACTCCATTAATATGTCCTATTATGAAAAGTCCATTACTGCCGCCTCTCACTGCGAAATCTGAAACGCTTTAAACTGGGGCTTTTCATTATCTGGCAACCTCCGCCCCGCGAGATGGCCACTAATTAGTTTCCCTGCTGTTTTAGGAGCGGTCTTAACATCCGTACCCTGGGGTATTCTGCAGTTTTCGTCGTATGTGTCCTTCAGCACCGCAGTTCCAACATTTTAGGTTGATTTCTTTTCACTGATATTTCTTCTTAAGTCATTTGAGTTGTCTGGTTAAATCGTCTAGACGAACAGTAACTTGATCCCTTGGTTCCTGGACATGAGCAGCTCTGATTGGGTGGCGGTCTCTACGAGTGGCTTGCTGGGCTGCCTCAAATTTCATGGCGTACACTAAAGCGCTTTTCAGATCTTTAACATCCGCCATTCGCAGTGCTTTCTGTATTTCAGGGTCCCGGATGCCATCGATGAAATATTGCATCAACAGGATTTTCCTTGTTTATTTCGGGCACTCCGAAAAGGCGTGATGTGACAGCCTTTCAACATCCGTGGCGAGCTCCTGAAGTGTTTCGGTGAGCTTCTGTTGACGGGATTTTAATTGGAGCCTGCTGTACTCTTTTAAACATTTCTCGCCGAAGCGCAGCTCCAAGGCGCCGGACAGAGCTTCGAAATCTAGCCTTTGATTTTCGGGAAGCGTCTGCAGGATATCCGCTGGTCTGCTCAGAGAAGCGGCGAGATGACAGGCCTAGCTTGGGAGTCCCATCCATTCGCATCCGCAACGATAGAAAACTGGGTCTTATACACTTGCCAGGATGTCTTTCCCATATATGTGGATAGCTTCAAGGATGGACGAGCAGGCATCGGTAAGAATTTAAAATCATCACTCTTGCTCCCTGCCGTCGCTACGAATTTTTTTAAAGTTTCCATTTCTTTGGCAACTGCAGAAACACTCTCTTCAATTTGTTGTTGGACGGCCGAAACTCTTCCTTCAACTCGTTGCTCCACAGCCGATAGTCTATCTTCTATTTCATCTTTGACAGAAGAAACCTTTTCTTTAATTTGCCCGACTTTATTTTCGACAGCTCCTGTTCTGTCTTCCATAGCCTCAAATTTACTTTCTATTACGCAGGTTATTTCTTTTTTCATTTCGTCTTGACCTGCTTCAATCTTTTCTTGTACAGATTTTATATCTTCTTTAAAAGTTACTTGACCAGCTTCCAACTTTTCGTGAACGGCTTCCGTTTCCTTTTTAACGGATTCCATTTCCTTTTTAACGAATTCTTCCATCTTTTCCTGAGCAGATTTCATATTATCTTTCATTTCTTCTTGTCCCGCTTTCATTTCCTGCTGGCCCGTTTTCATTTCCTCTTTAAATTTAGCAAAGGCTGATATCAACTGTCTTAACTGATCTTCCATCGCTCTTGTGATTGGCTTTCAAACCCCACTCCTGACACCAAAAATTGTTGCGTGCGTACGGGTTCGTTACGAAATGAATGCACAAGTCCGATGAAAAAATGAACAAAAATTTATTATTATCACAACAAAAATGCTTAAAATTTCTCAAATTATCATGCAGTATTACAATATCTCACAGTAGTTATCTTTTAACTACTCAAATGTCCAATAGAAACGTAATTCAAACAGCTAAAGAAAGCTAATCCACGAATTCGCTACAATCGACAAGAGCAGTTTTCTAAACAACAACAAAAACTAACAGCAACTAAAGTACAACAAATGAGATGTTTTCCTCCTTTATAAGATTTTAAAATCACGCGCTAGAATTTTCCAGTACTTTCTCGAAATCAAAAAGAGATATTTATTTATTTAATGCACGCGCTCTTGTTTTCAATTTTCCGGCTTAGCTTTCTTTAATATTCGTCACCGCGCTGCCTGCGCGAAAAAAACCATTTAATTTATAATTGAACTAACATTAGCTTTTTAAATACCAAATTCGTAACAATATCATTAAAATTTCACAGTGGCTAAAAATCTAGTAAAGAAAATTTCAAAAATAATTTTAAAAAAATTTTTTTAATTGCATTCTGAAAACTTCAGATTACTGTTTATATCATTAAAATTTCAGAGCTTAAAAATATGAGAAAGTTTTCACAGTTTAGAAATATAAAAATTCTAAAATTAAAAAGGAATTACAGTTTTATCTTAATAATACGTAGATTTCAAGTTAACACCCGGAGAAAAAAAAAAGTCACGTGCAGACTCATGCACTTAATAAATAAACGATTTAATTATTTAAGACGTAAATGTGTGTTTAATTTCACTAAAGACCGCTTATACATGTAGCTTAATAGAACAAGTATTTTCTTCAAGTGATAATATTTCCTATTCACCAGGAAGCAAACTCCGCTAACTGAAAACAGTAAGACTTTGAAGAAGTTTCTTTCAAGATAATTACAACATATTGTAAATATTTTCATTTTTCAAAATAATTATTTTGTGATTCATTCAAAGGGAAAGTTCACTACAATTCCTGTCAACATATACACTTAGGCTTATTCTATCAAAATTAAGTCAAAAGTTTTAAAAAGGGTTACCAAAGTTACCCATTCTTTATTAGCTGAAAAAAATAATCAAATATTTAAGAATTTTATAAAAAGCTTTATATACCCTTTAAAACTCATCAAACTCTCACCTTGTGCAGTTATAGGCGGAGTGGAAATTAATGCCAGTTTTTCTGTTTTCCACTTCTGAAGACATTTTTGACGGTAAAGTAATAAGCCAGCCAATACATCAGATGCAACTAAATCCAAATCCTGAAAACGCACATTAGGAATCAAACAAAAATCTTCAACTTGCATTTTGAATTTAAATTACAATTCATCATTAAAACATAAATCATCTAATCAATTGAACGCAGAAGAATAAAATCGTGCATTCGATTATTATCACCATGTAATATTTCGGTGAAATAAAGAAAATTAATAATACTTACTTTATCAGTGTTCAATATAAAGAATAAATTACATTTTAACTGCAGATATATCTGATTTTCAAAAATGCGCAATACTACTCTGGTCAATCTTTATCATAATAAATGTCAATTTCTTTTATCTGGTCATTGAAAGGAAACCATATAATCATTAACTAAAGGAGGAAAAGATAAGTTAGTTCGCTCATTTGCGACAAAATTGCAAAATTTTTGTCTCAGGATAAAATTTATGAAATAGATTGGAAAGCGACAATTCTGGGATAGATTAGATTTAGAAAAGATGAAAAATCATTTGCAATGGACTATAATTAGTTTTCAATTAGTTTATACTCTGGAGTTCAGCTTGGCCCCGATGGTACGTCAGACGGCACCTTTAAATATCGTAGTAAAAAGGGCAGCAACTCTGCAATTTAACCTGAAATTCAGCTAAAATTCTATATTTTATTGAATATTGAATTTGCTTTACATACATATGAAAGAGCAATTAAAATTTACAGATCATACCACCTTCCTAGAATGATGAATAATGAAATATAGAATGACATCAGTAATTTTAAAATTAAAATTTGTTTATCTGGGCTACATAGTATTCAAAAGAATACAAGCTATAGATATTTAAAACGCGTTTAAATGAAATCTCAAGTCTAAAAGTTAAATCTGAGCAAATTTAAGTTACATTTATTATAATGGGACCATATAAGCTAGTACTGACTAATTTAAAAGGAATTTCTAATTAATGGGAATTTTAACCATGTGCTCATTGATTTTACATTAGATTTTAGAAGATGGTTTTGGTAGGTTTTTAACCGGATAATAAGTTACTATTATGTTTAAAAAAGGGTTCACATTTTCGTCCAAATAAAATAAGTAAATAAATACGTAATTACGTTCGAAATTGGATTTAATTATTAAATATGAGGAAACTATTAAATCAGAAGTAATGCTCAAGCAGAATCTTATGTAAGACTCCTATTAACACTTAATTTACACTATATCTGGGAAAAGGTAGATCAGTTCACTCAGCAGTGGTACTTTCAGAAAATTAAAAATGTTATTTAATATTATCATTAAACACGAAAACACGATATATTAAAGTTGTCACTGGCACTAAACAGTATCATTGAAAATTAGCGAAAATATTAGTTTTTATTGCATTTTTTACTTTTGATTTACATTTTCTTTCAGTGTGTTGTTTGTTATTTTTTAATTTATTTGTTTATTTATTTATTTATTTATTTTTTTTTTTTTTTTATTATTTATTTTTTTTTTTTTTAGTTTTTGTTTATTTGGAATTGTTTTGTCATTATTTATTAGTTGCTAACATTGGAATTTTCTGTAGATTGCTTGTATACTTTGTGTTATTTTTTACTTGGCTATTGATAATTTTATATCTATGTGTATTATGCTACCGTGCATGAAATTCTATATATATTAAATTTGAATTTTATGAACAGCTCAAGCAGAATCTTAAAATATCTTCTATTAGAATCATTTCAGTCTTTGGGAAAAATTTGCTGTATCAATATTTTGGAACTTTCACTCGTATAATAGGATGCGAAAAAAGTTTCAGAAAATTTCAGTGATATCTTTTTTTATCACCTCTCCGCCTCATGCTTCAGGTGAAATTTATATTAGCACAGGCAAAAGTCGTGAATTTAGTCACTTCAGTTTAGCTTTCAGTAGTGAGTTTAATAAGATTTCAATGATTTAAGTCTTTGCTCATTAAGGTCTGCCATTCTTGAATGTTCCCTAGTGAAAAGGGTTTCGAAAAATGTTTAGAAAATTTCAGTGTTATTATTTTTTTATCACCTCCCCCCACCCCCGACGGCTCCCAATGAAATTTAGAATAACGCCGGCAAAAGCTGTGATTTCATTCAGTTCAATTTAGCATTTAATGTTTAGTAAGTATTCAATGATTTCAACTTTTGCCCGTAAGGACGGTCTGCCGTTTTTAAGCCCCAAACTAGTTAAAAAAATTATATCTAATTCCTATATTAAAAAAAGAATGGTATCAGTTGGTATATCTATAGGTAATCAGAAAGCGGTAACACATCTCTACGATTATTCAGGAGGCTTTCCATAGCTTTGCTATGGGTTTAGAATTATAAGAAATGAAAGTAGCATGCATCTTTCGAATGGGGGCCCACCAGCGGACGACAGGCAACGTCACTAACACTGTAGTTCAATCTAGGTTTTCTTCGAGATGAATGGGCTGATTGCATGGGCGTTTTCGTGGTTTTCTCCATGTGTACCGTGGATACGTGTCAGTTTCCGTTGCAAAATCGTCCATGAAGACCTTCTTCTCTTAAGCAGATAACCCGCACGTGCTTACATAAACCAATTCTTTCGAGTGCAGGCTTGACCAGGTTACAGATATCACAGAAAAGGATTGCAGTGTGTAATATTCATGCTGTCAAAGCTAACAAAGTGCAATGAGTTGCTCATAAAACTCCATCAAGTGACAGTGCATCATAATAAAAATTTAAGCAATTTTCTTTCTCAAATTAAAAGAAAAAGTAACTCTTAAGTTGATTCAAGCCTGGACACTCTCTAAAATTTTCTATCCTTGGCTGCTTTTGACATGTACCGTGCATTCAAAAGTGACACTTGAAACTAGCGTTAAACAAAAATGTATATCAAATGATCAAAGAGCCGCAAAACGCAATTCTTCGAAAACATTACATAAGAACTGTATTTTAATTTTTTTAAACTAAACTTTGCATTTTTAATAGGTCTTCTTTATTCTGTGCACACTGTGGCTTTCAGAGATAGTTCTAAATGGCAGAAATATAATACAGTAAGTGAATAATAAAAGTTGAATTTTTGTGTAAACTTACATATTTAAATTATTATAAATAAAAATTGTTATTTTATATGATAACGGTATTCGGTACAATCACTGATCATTTTATGAAAAAAAAAAAAAAATCTGATGAGTACACTATGGAAATTTCCTGTTATGTTTTACCACCAATCCTCGAATTCCATATCACATATTATGTTCTTACTGCATTAATATAATATTAACAAGACATAGTGCACAATAAAAATTAAACTTTATTTAGGAACATCGCGCATACTCCCCGACAGCCTGCCTGTTTCGCTCTGCTCGCTACTCGTAATAAAAACTTCTCCTCTAGGGTTGCCACACTTATCGGAGGGCGCAAGGCGCGCTCCTTATCGCCATCACCACAGAGTTTCCCCTCAGTTCCTTTAATGGCTATTCAAAGGAACGACATAGGTTATGAAATTATCTCAGAGTATCCGTACTGTCGGGTATTTTTACATGATTACAAAATTAGAATATAAAATTAGAAAAGATCAAAATGCAATTCAATATATAACAAGGTATTGACACATATAATAAACATGAAATAACAAGAAATATGTTAAGATATGAATTTTAAAAAAGTGTTTTAAATTGTTATGTAAGAAGCAAGTTTCTTACATAACGGAGATATCTTAGATGACGTTATCATATCACTAGGCAGCTTGAGAGTTGTGCCGTACACCAGTTCAGCACAAGATGACTGTAGATCTTCCTTTACGGCTGTCCGAATACCAAGCATAACAACTGGTAGTGTTTCAGTCCAGTTATTGGTCTCGTGAGCCTTGAGAGAAGATTTTAAATGTCGATGAAATCGTTCAACAATGCCGTTGGACATTGGATGATAGGCTGCCATTGTGATTCTGTTCGTACCCAAAATGCGCGTAAATTCTACAAAAAATTGCGGATCTCATTTGAGAACCTTGGTCAGTTGTTATGATTCGATGGGCAGCCAAAACGAGATATCCAACAGTTGAAGATAGCTCTGCAAATGTCCGTTTCATATCGGGGATAGGTATGGCTTCAGGCCATCTGGAAAATCTATCTGTTAAGTCAAAAGGTACATGTTGCCTTCTGATGGTGGTAACGGGCCAACAGATGTCCATATGAATTTGTGAAAAATGTGCATCAGGAAGAGGAGATTATACTCAAGTGATGCTCTAGTGTGTCTGGTTAATTTTCGATCGCTGGCTAGAATCGCAGAATTTCACCCATTTTTGAATGATGTTTCATATTGGGCCATACATAACAAGAAGAAATGAGTTTTGTAGTAGCTGCAATTTCCAATTCCTGGATGTGATAGATTATGCAGATGATAAAGATGAGTCTGCGAAAGGAGTTTCGCAACAAATGGACGAGGAACGTCAGTAGAGATGTCACACAGAATGTTACCATTGGAGTATTGGCACTGGCTTGAATTCCAGCTTCAAAGATGATGTATTGTTTTTGAGAAGATTTCGTACCTCCGTATTCATGCTGTTAAGCTACGGAATATTTTTTAAAATCCCAAAAATGGAGATTTTGTTATGGAATCAATTTCGATTTTTGAAAGTGCATCAGAAACAGACATTTTTAGAACCTTGCACATGCTTAATACCGGTAGAAGTACTGAGGAATAAAATCTAAATGACGTAACTTGCCGAGGTGAACATTTGTGAGGATTCTGCTTAAAAGGCGTATACTAAGCGGTTTCTGATCCATATAAATTTGAAAATTTCTGCCCTCTAGCATGTGTCAGAATTTCTTAATTGCAGAATAAATAGAAATAATTCCCTATCGTACGCGGACCATTTCTGTTGACTTTTATTGAGTTTCAAGAGAGAAAAATGCTATAGGTTCCCATGTTTGTTGAGACAACTGCATAAGTGTGCCGCCTATTGCGACGTCTGAGGCATCTACCCAGATGCTTAGATGGGCTCCGGGAATAGGGTGTCTCAAAAGGGTAGCCTGAGCAATGGCATTTTTGGCAGCAATAAAGGCTTGTTCAGAATTCTCGTTCCAATTTAATTGTGGGGATGAATCCTGAACACGAGAACGAGATTTCTTTTTATTAATATAGCCTTCTAACAATTTTATTAAAAAGAAGAAAGAATATGTGCTGCTTTAGGTTATGAAAATCTATAAAAGTTAAAACATGCCTAAAAATCGGCGAAAGCTGAGTGAGAGTGGTAGGTTGAGGAAATCTAAAATACATTTGACTTGGTCAGGAAGAGGTTCAATTCCGTTTTCACTAAGGTGAAAACCTAAGAAATCAATAGATGTTTGACCAAAGGTGCATTTTGAAACATTTATGCAAAGTCCATATTCCTGAAGTTTGGAAAAAAAGCTTTTCAAATGCCTGCAATGTTCCTCAGAATCTTTAGAGGCTATGAGCAAGTCATCGACAAAAGCGCGTAAACGCCTTCTAAATCCCGCGTGACTTCATCTATAAAACGTTGAAAAGTCGCAGATGCATTGCATAAGCCCGAATTGCATACGGATACTTTCGAATAAACCGAATGGTGTGCATATGGCGGTTTTGTGGATGTCGGCTGGGTTAATTGGTATTTGATGGTATGCCTTAATCAGGTCGACATGACTAAAAATTTTAGTACCGTGCAATGCAGCAGTAAAATCGGCTAAACATGGAATAGGGTATTTGTCTTTTATTGTTTGAGCGTTCAATGCTCGATAATCTTTCTACAGGTCTCCATTCCAGACTTCCCTTTTTTGGAACCATGTGAAGTGGGGATGCATAATTGCTGCTTCGAAGGTCTCAAATGCTTCAATTGCATCATAGTTTGAAATTCTTGTTTTGCTATTTTTTAAGCGATCTGGAGCTAACCGACGAGGTTTTGCAACCACAGGTGGACCTTTAGTTATGATATAATGAACGGTGTGTGTGTTAACAGGTTGGTTAGGATCTGGTTAATCTAGTAACTGAAGGAAATTCTATTAAAATTTTGTGATATGGTGTATCACTAAATACAGTTTTTTACTGAATAAATGCTTGCATTTTTCACGCAACCGACGGTTTTAAAATGCGTTTTTAAATCTTTGAGACATTTGTTTCTGAGATCAGGCACCAATTCAAAGAAATGGAGAAAATCTGCTCCAAGAAATGGGTTGTACTAAACATTTGCTATAAGAAAAGTCCATGTAAACTGTCGTCTTAATTTGAAATCCAAAGAAAGTGTTTTTTGACCATAAACATGAATAGTAGAAGAATTAGCAGCGAAAAGTGTTTGTTGGGACGAATTCCGTTTTGAGAATTATTTGCTGGAAGTAAGGGACACGTCAGAGCCGGTATCGACCAAGAATGAAAGGTTTGTTCTACGGTCACGAACGAACAGGCGACGTGAAAACTTGAGGCAAAGAATAAGTCGCCTCTATTCTTTGCTGGTTTCGTTTCCCTGCCATGAACAAGGTTTTGTACATTTGTCATCTCTACACTTTTTCCCAAAACGTCTATGATACCAAGCAAATAGAATAATCTCTCCTTTTTGGAATTGCTTCTTTCCTTATTGCGATCTCCGCGATTTGGCGAGCGACCCACGAGAAAGAGAAATGCGATCAATACGTTTGTTTAATTTTTCTATTTGTTTAAATAATTTATCCTCAAGAGACTGATCGACTGTGCGAGAAACGGCACAAGTCCCGGGGTTGGATTGGATTTACTTCTAAAATTCTGTCGGCAATTTCTGCACCTTTATCTGCAGTTAAATTGGAAACCGCTGCAAAAATAGACTGAACATTCGAAGGCAAACGTTGAAGGAATAATTCTAACATTAAGTTATCTGGAACATTTAAAGATTCTGCTTCGACGTTTCATATTGCTAAGCAAATCGATAGGTTTTCGAGAACAAGAACATAATTCCTTCTCCAGATAATAATTGGCGAATTTCTCTGTGAGATTCTCCTGAACAATTATTAACTCAGTTTTGCTTTGCATAGATCAATAGGGTCTGGTTTCATAAGTAACTCCCACGTACTAGAGATGCTATATCTGGAGGAAGATGAGCAACTACATAATTATATTTAGTAATGGATTGTGTGCTAGGTTTGGGGGTGGCAAGAGCAAAGGTATTTTCACACATAATAACCATAAAGATGGGTCTGATCGGTTATAAACCGGAATTTGGACGGCATAAACATCAGACATTGTGCAAGGTTTTAAGCCAAAATAAAAGCAAAATTTTAACTATAGAAAATGAAATTAAATGATAAGTAGAAAACAGAATTATAAAATGATATAATTACTACTCATCCGTGATTCGGAGGATGTGAAAACCGATGTAATCCATTACTTCTGGTTTGGAGATCTTGAGTGATGGCTTGTAGTCAAAACCGAAAGTGCTTGAGAACTGTATAACGATTTAACACAGTCCGGGTACCATTATGGAAATTTCCTGTTATGTTTTACCACCAATCCTCGAATTCCATATCACATTATTGTTCTTACTGCATTAATATAATATTAACAAGACATAGTGCACAATAAAAATTAAACTTTATTTAGGAACATCGCGCATACCCGCAGCCTGCCTGTTTCGCTCTGCTCGCTACTCGTAAGAAAAACTTCTCCTCTAGGGTTGCCACACTTATCGGAGGGCGCAAGGCGCGCTCCTTATCGCCATCACCACAACACCACATGACTTCCTTGTACGGAATATTAAATTATACGCATTTGTTCTCGCATTTCTTTTAAACTTATTGGATTTAATTAAATCTACTTCGCCGACAGCGCATAATAAACACAATAGAATAAAGGCATTCTTTTAAATTCACTCTATTGTTTAACATAGCGACACTCTGGCACTAGGTTCACTTAACAGTATTATATTTCATTCATATTATAACTCAAAATGCACACAAAATGTATATCATTTAAAGAATTATCTAATCGTTGCCACATGTTCTTTTCAATACTATAATAAAGCTAGAACGATGTAAAAAAGAAAATAAGCAACAAAATAAAAAATAAACAGTTTTTCACAGACGATTGAGTATTTCTCAATTCAATTAATGCAGGTTCAGTTTTCCTTCGCGACAAGAAAAAAAATACATAAAAAGCTCAAAATATCTGTATTAAAATTACTAATTATTAAAAATTAAATTACTAATTATTAAAAATTAAATAAATCTTAAACACTTATTTCCTCGAAAAAATTCCAGAAAGGATTAAGCATGATTTAATTCGCAATAATAATGAAGGCGTTTATTTTTGTTGTTGCGAAGCTTAGTCTCTCCAGATTGGCAAACAAATCTACAATTCTGCTGTTTCAATGTAAACAAATATGTCCGCCATGTTATTTAAAACTTAACCGCACTTAAACAGCTTTTAAATTGTGATAATTGTACAAATATTGCTTCCAGAATTACGAAAGGCATAAAAAACCTTAACGGAAGATAAGACAACATAATTCAATCATTTTAAAGCAAAAAATGTACAATTTACAAACATATAAGAGTAAAGAATCTGAGATCACTGTGCCGAGTAACAGAGTGGATATATATATATAAATATAGTATTTATATACGTTCGGTGCGGCCGATTGCAACCAAAATACGAGGTACACATCTACATGTTATAGCAGTCCTATATACGAAATTTCAACGTTCTGAGGCTACTCGTTTTTGAGTTATGCGAGATACTTACGTACATACGTTCGTACAGACGCCACGAAAAATTCTCTTCAGAATTAATTTTAAGGCAGTTAGTTTTATAATTTTTTTTGAAGGAAAAGAGTATTTTTTCTGTCCTTACGTACAGATATCACGCAAAAACATCGTTAAATTGCATTCGATAGCGGTCAAAATGGATATTTTCGTTGAAATATGCTGCCTGAACCTTTTCGCGATTACAATACTTCCTTTTTACTTTGTACAAGGAAGTAAAAAACCGTCAGCATTAGGCTTATAGAATTTATTACACTGTTTATGACATAAAACAAATTTAAGATTGAAAAAAAACGAAATATTTTACTTTAGTGGAAAAAAGTATATTCTACGTTTTCCTGACTGTTATTCTTTCTAATTTCTATAAACTATATGAAATATACTTACGCAAGATAAAAGCGCCATTAACTCAGAGGCAGTTTTAATAGCTTCTTTTCTAGCATCAGAAGGAGTTGTACACCACAAGAAGAGCGCCTGAAGTCTAGGGAAAATATAAACAAACATATATAGTATAAGCATTGCACATGTTATAAAGATTTAAACACCAATTTAACAATTCACGTCTTAAAAAGAAATTAAAAATTAAAAAAAAAATTAACGAAGTATTTCTTCCTCATTTTAAGAAAAAAGATATAAAGAAGGCAAAGACTTCTTCTTACGTATTTATTTCATCTTGAATAAAATCAAAAGGTCGCCTTTATAAAAAATCGATAAAATGTCAAAATCACAAAATAAACGGTTGTATTCCGGATATATTAGGATATATTACACTTTTTTTCCTAAGAATCGGTCCGCTTTGACTTATGGAATTGTTAGAAAATATGACATGCGCAAACAACAGGCAAAACGACTATTCTTCCGTAAACTGAATGAGAAAGAAGTACATATAGGAGGTTGAAGAAGCAGTGTTAAGGACTCTTGGATAATTAAAATTGCGCATACACTTACTTTACTAACAAGCAGCAGATTTATGAGCTATACCTCAAGAAAACACTCTCTAAGAAGAAAGAAAAGAAATGAGTCATTAAAGTTAATTCATTTGTATATTTAATTGATTATAGCAAAGAACACGAGGACAGTCGGCCTAAGGGAAGAGATACCTTCGTAGAAGACTTTCCGATCTGACTCGTATTTATACTATACACAGGGAAAATCATAAAAACAAAAGACAGTTAATCAGTAATTCCGAAATTGGGCACGGTGATTTCTTTGCTAAATCTGCTTTATTAAAAATTGAAATATTTTCACTGAACGCGGAAGAAATTACATTGGTATAGTATTACGAATTACACTCATGACCATAAATTAAGGATAATGCAAAATCAGGCAAAGGAAGAGTTAGAAGCAAAACAAATTTGACTTATTTGTAAAGCTTATTTATTAAACAAAAGGTAAAGAGAAAAAAAGATGCTTATACGTTTGATGTTATTAAAAAATTAGCGATTTTTTGCTCCCTGGAGCAAATTACAAAAAGACCTATTTACAAAAAACCAATATTACATGGTTGGTATGATTGTTAATACATTGTATGTCTCCCAGACGATGCAATACAGTCCGTACAACGCCTAGGCATGCTGATTATCAAATTATCGATCTCATTTGGGGATATTACACCACTCCAAAAGCAATGCCTCCGAAGTTCCGGTAGACAGTAGGAGGAGGTTTGACGGGCTGCAACTCGTCGGCCAAGCATGTCTCACACGTGCTCTACTGGATTCAAGTCCGGTGAGAATGCTGGCCAGTCCATACGGGTGATATCCTCCGATTGAAAGCATTCGCTTACGATGTTTGCACGGGGAGGACGGGCGTTGTCACCATAAACTCAAATTGTTCGCCCATGGCGCCCTGAAGCAAACGTACATGTTGTTCCAGAATGACGTCCCGATAGATTTGGCTTGTCATGGTTCCAAATTTGAAGATGCAGGTCAGTTCTGGAACCCAGAATAATTCCATCCCAAACGAGCAATCATGCACCACCGTAACGATGTCGTTCAATGATGTTTTCTTGGTGGTATCGGGTACCTGGAGCTCTCCACATGAAAGTCCGGCGAGAAACAGACTGCAAGCTAAACCTGGACTCGTCGGAAAACATCACACAAGCCCACTGTTGCGGTGTCCACAATGCATGCTCTCTACTCCAGGCTAACCGCAGGTGACAGTGAGTTGCAGTAAGTGGAACGCATCTGACAGGTCTACGAGCATATAGACCAATCTGCCCCAAGCGTCTGTACACGGTTTGCCCTGAAATTGTCGTACCAGTGGCTGAAGAGAGCTGACGAGACAGGTCTGAGACTGTGCTCCGCTTGTTTCTTTTGGCAGTAACTGCCAAATACCGATCCTCATTTGGCGTTGTAACTCTGGGACGACCTGTTCTCTAACGTCTACTTACATTACCATCATCTTGGAATCGTTGCTAAAGCCTGGAGATGACACTCTGGGCAATTCCAAGTTCATCTGATACTTCCAGTTGGGTACGCCCACATTTCAGACGGTCGATAATTCTACCACGTAAAAAATCATCCAAATACGTCCTTTGTGTCATAAATATTCGGTTATTGCACTGAAATGCTTATAAAGCGCCTGCGAACAATTTTACTTCTTTGCCTGTATTTCTTATCACACTCTTACACTCTCGTCATTGTGACGTACCATCGGTGTCATCTGGTTACTTCCTGAAATTTGCATATGATTCTTGAAGATGTGTGTAGTGATTTTACGGGTGATATATTTATTTTAGAGTTCGATTTCCGCATGACTCCGAATTATCCTTAATTTATGGACATGAGTGTATTTTCAATTCTATAAGTTTATATCAGTAAAACTATATTAAGGCTAATTTTAGAGTGCCTTTTCGTATGAAAAGCCACTAAAAATTTGCATGCAACCCGCATTCCAGGAGTGTTATAGTAACGTAAAGGCTTAATACATTATAATGAGCCGTTCAGCCGGTATAGTGGTTACTGGCCCTGATTGCCGTAGCCATGGGCCTGGTTCTGAATCCCGGAGAAGGCATGTAACTGTCTGTCCCTTCATAGGAGGCAAAGGTGGCCACCTATTAGATGCTTTTATAATGAAATGGCTACTACTTTCAGTTCTTCTAGTGGTGCAAGGCTAATGGCTATTAAACAAAGCGCCCGGCCATTAAAATATATGTTACAACGAATCCTCTCTAAAACAACCGATCATGGTTAAATACAATTTTTGTCTTCCGTGGAGTAATATCGTCCGAGTGCACGGCAGAAACGGGACAAGGATCCATCTACTAGAGGAATTTAACGACCTCGTAAAGTAAACTGCACGGAAAAATTTTCCTCTCCACCAAGGAGGGTCTTCACACTTTCTAATGAAGACATTTAGTAAGTTCCTCTCCCCCCTTTCAAAAAGCTAGAAGCTACTACTCAGTTTTACTTATAGCAGCCAAATAATAACCAAAATGCGCAACATAAAAGTTTAGTTTGGTTTAATTGATTGGGGGGGATGCCTTGGTGCAGGACTTTCTAAGGCAAACTGGCTCGTATACACGTTACACATGGGAAAAACCACGAAAACGGCCATGCAGCCAGCCCGTTCGCCGGAAATCGGACGAAACTATTACCGTTCAGCGACTTTATCGCTCGGCCGCTGATAGGCTCGCATAACAGGAAAAAAAAAAAAAACGTATAAAAAATACAAAACACAAGAACATGTAAAGGATATCTAATAAGCGGGTTAATTACTTGGGTAACAATAACAAATGCAAGACCGACCAAAGAAAATAAGAGTAGAGTTAATCGTCTAGGAGAGCAGACGTTAAATATAAACACTTGTTCATATGATAAGAAATACTGATTACTTTCAGTGATAATCATGTACAGGAGGTGGTCGCGATGAGAGTAATCACTAAAAATAAAAAAAAAACACTTCTTTGTATATTTGATATAAAATATATTAATTAAAGTACATATGTTCTTCGTTAAGACACAGAGTCTTCATCTAACTTACAGAAGTCCTTCAATAAGAAAACTTCCAACCGAGAAGACGAATTCTTAATAAAAATGTAAAGACGCAATCTCAACATGGAATTATGCAAGAAGCAGTGGATCATCAGCGCATAACCGACTGAAGGAAACCATATTGTTTTGTCTACCAAAATATTTGCTCCTTGCCTTTTCAATGAATTCTTAAATTTGATTCTGTGTTAATTGGTATTTAATTTCAAGTAATTATAAGACTTAAATTGTCAATGTGGGAAAACCCTCACGTTTCTGTACTTAAGAACTTAAATAGAGAAATGAAAATTTAGCAAAATTTTGGTGTTCAGTGAAACTGTCACATTTTCATTAGAAGTACTCAGTTTGACGTGGCCAGAAAGGTCTAAGCCGTATGATTTCTGCGCGATTCCCCCTTTTTTTTTCTGAAAATTAAATTTTTATTTTTAAACGTCCGAATTTTTTAAAATCTTAAATAGCAGTCGATGGGCCGAACTGTACTGACAAAACACGAACTCCGATTCACAGGCCGCTCTGTTTGACAAAATTATTTTAGAACCTTTTTCATGTATAACAATAATTAAGGCATATTTTCACATTATATGCTATTTATCATTTCTTTTATTATTTTTATTTTGCTCATTTCATGACAAAAAATGTCTCCCCTGGTCTAAAATTAAATCCACGTTAAAGAGAGGCTGCTAACAAACTGCGCAACATAAAGCCTTTCATTAATCTCTGGATTTTTATTTATACTTTCCTTATATAAGAGAGAAATGAATTTTTAAAAAATAATAGGCATATCCTTGATAACAGTTTTTGATACCTGTATCTACGTCATTTTATTTATAACTAATAAAAACATATAAGAATATAATATGCATTTACGCTTTAATTCTTTCTAGCTATACAATTCAATCAAAAATGAAGCCTTATGATATAACAGTATATTTCTGCAACAATACATAACCGACTAAACGTATGGATAATAAATAGTATTAAAAAAACATAGGTTTTTTTTAATACTATTATCTATACGTTTCTTCCCATCAGCTTTATTTGATGGATTATTAAATATTTTCAATAATACTTTGGTATTTTTAAAAAGGAAATATACAATTAAGTAATTTTTTTGACAATCTTTCGTTTAAAAAGCATACGAAAACAAGCAGTTAGCGAACTGAGTTCTTATCCTATACTTAAACAAGCGCATTTTAATTTTTAAAGCGATGCACATTAATAACATTTTTGCATTCAGCAACAGCACTAAACCTTGCACATCCAATTTTTGAATTCCAGTGAAATTCATTTGATCCTCGAATGGAATTTCGGGTTTTTTTTTTTTTTTTTTTTTCCCGAGTTTGCAGTTCGTTAGTCAAAATAACTTTCATAGCTTTGTAATGACAGATCGGTATTATTTGGAAAATTAAATATGCAGTTTAATTTGCACGACGCAACATTCTAAATGAAAGACTTTCACACAGTTACGGTTAAAATTACGAAAAAATGCAAA